CACTTTCACCATATATGTCCATCTAGGGTTGCCATCCCTCCCCCTGGAGGGCAGGTTTTCACCGCTTTTGGGGCTCTCAATCTGCCACCAGCCAACTGGCCAGCAGGTGGAGCCCCACCCCACCCCTGAAGAGCCCCATTGCACCCAACATACTCGGCGCAATGATGTCACTCAGAGATTATATCATCGCTCTGGGCATGTCGTGCGGGGGGATGCTCTAGCATTTGGCTAAAAACTCTATGGTGATCATAGAGTTTTTGGCCAAATGCTAGAGCATCCCCTGCATGATGTGCCTGGCATGATGACGTCACTTCCATGTGATGTCAACATAGTGGGCGTGCAAAGCACACGTGCCAGAAGTTCTAGGAACCCGGGCTGGAGCCCCCCATTGGCAGCCATCCGGTGTCCATTGGGTTTTGCTTGTCATTCTGCATTGATTTTCCTCCTCTTCAGCACTCAGTTTGCTTTATGGTCACTGTTTCCTCAGGTTTTCTGAGCATGCTTTTGTGCCAACTTTTCCCTTGTTTTGCTTTCAAGCTGAAGGTAACTTAAAAGTACAGATTCCTTTGGACCCCCCCCTTGCCACCCCTCGAAGGTCACTCCCTGCCCACATCAAGGTTGTTTCGCCCACTCTGCACCTTCTACCATCCTCCCGCCTTCATTGGTGTAGAAGTTCTATTTCCCCCTTTTTTTAAAAAATAGGTGCATGTGTGTGTGTGCGCACCTGGAAGTCATGGCAACCTCTGGTGACTGACTCCTACGGGGGGCCTGAAGGATACTCAAAAAAGTGGCTGAATAACGCCTGCCCCTGCCTCCCGACTGCTGGCATTCCAAGGAGGTCACTTGGGATCGATCCATTTGGAGGACTGAGTGCAATCCATACAGGACAGGCTCTAAAAACTGCCAAGATCATCAGTGTGCAGGATCAAATTAGAGAATCACAAAGAGAAAACCACACACATTTGCAAAGAAGGGCAGGAAATTAGCATTACTATGCAGCGGCGCTAGGGCATCGGTGAAAATGCCCCTCCCCATTTTTTCCAATTTAGAGGGACAAGGCTAAAAAAGCTCTCTAGAGCTTTTGCCATACAAATTGCAGCCCGTGCATAGTGGAGTTGCAGCTGACTTTACACTGACACGCATGCACACATACACACGTTGCCAATGATCACAGCTTGCAACGCCGGTGTCAGTGGGTTCTACCATGCATTCTGTACACTCAACATGTTCCCCCATATAATGAGATTGCGTGTCTCTTTCCCATTTTTCACAGTGGCCAGTAAAACAGCAGAGAATCCCCCAGTGCTGGCCTGGGCAGTATGGAAAAGGGCTTGGCAGCTGCTTGTCACTTTCAGAAAAAGTCTGGTCAGTTTCAACATCAGGTTTCCCCCCTTTGCCTGCATTCTTTTCTGTTCCCCTTTATTCAAGGAACTAACACTAAAATGCATGCGTAAAAACTGAACCACAAGGATTTAAATGGAAGGCACTTGTTGAACACTACTGAGCAGCTGTGATAGGGCAACTGCATAATTTTTTTTAAAAAAACCTTTGGACACCGCCCCACACGTCACAAGTGACATTCCACCCCAATTTAGAAAAGTGGGGTTTTTTTTAGATTGTAGCTGCAGAATAAATACCCCATAGGAAAAAGAATGGCATGTAAAGCGGGCACAGAATCCAAAGTCAAGATTGAAGGTTTACTGCTCTGAAAATCTGCAGTAAGGTGTGTGTGTGTAATGGGCCAAAGACAGAAGGAGGAAAATGTAAAGGCCAGCTGGCAGCAGCAACTTTGCTTAAATAAGCTTACTTCTAAGTCGGCATCTAGTGAGACCTTGCCTGTAGTGATGACAAATAATGGATTTTTGTAGCAATATTCTTTATATTTGAATTGCTGCAGCTTTTAATCTATGTAATAGTTATGCAGCCCTCCACTGGATAGCCCAGGCTAGCCCGGTCTCATCCAGTCTCGGAAGCTAAGCAGGGTCGACCCTGACCAGTATTTGGATGGGTGACCTCTGAGGAATACCAGGGTCATGACGTGGAGCAGGCAATGGCAAACCACCTCTGAACGTCTCTTACCTGGGAAATCCTACATGTTCAACATAAGTCAGCTGTGAATGATGGCACTTTCCCCCACCACCACCGGTTATTTATTGGAACGGACTATGTGATTTCTGCCTGTAAGCTGCTTTGAATGGAAGCCAAGGAAACTATAAAGTTAATATTTTAAATTTTTATTTAATTTGTGATACCTTGCCTTCCCCCCACACCCCGAAGGAGGGCCCGCAGCAGCTCACGTGATTCTCCTCTGCTCCATTTTATCCTCACATCAACCCTGTGAGGTAGGTTTGTCTGAGAGCATGTGACTGGCCCATGGTCACCTAACAAGCTTTCACGGCAGAGCAGGGATTTGAACGTGGGTCTCCCAGTTTCTAATCCAATGCTTGTCTAACTACTATACCATTTCTTTTGCAAAATAAATTTGGAATCGTGTAACTAGCAGTGTGATCCTGAGGAGAGTTACACCCTTCTACATCCATGGTGGGTTTAAGCCGCAGTCCTCAAGATAGTTTTCTGCTATATAACATAAATCTACTTCAAAGTAGATTTACTTAGGCTTCTTCCCTTTGCAGGGTGTAAATCCGCCTAGTGTTGCCCTGCTAAGGGATATAACAAATTCTGTAAATAAGACAAAAATAAAAATTAGGATTTGGAGAAAAATCTGATGACAAAAGAAACAGCAAGAGGTAGAGCCCTCGTGTAGGAACAAACAAAAACACTAATGGGAGGAGTATGGATGTATTTAAAAAACGTTTCCAGGAAAACCGGGTCTACCAAGAAAGGACTGGACTGGAATGAATACAGGATCTTGCCCGAATTCTGCTTTCCATTCCCTCACATTGTAAGTTCCTTGGGGCAGGGAGTCTGCATTCTTGCGTTCTATAAGGAGCCAGGCATTCTGACGATGCCATAGAAATCATGATAAAAAAAAATAATAGCTGGCAGCGAAAATACATTTATACTCCTGGCTTATTTATACTGTGCGCTTTTATTTATTTATTCAATCAATGCCATTTTGAGGCTGCCCTCCCCCGTAGCAGGGGGCTCAGGGCGGTGTCACTGTTTCTCTAAGGAACTTGAGGCGGCATACCACATTCTCCCCTCCTCTCCCCCCTCTCACAACAGCAGGATAGGCCCAAAGGAAGCGGAATAGTCGTAGGTCACCCCACAGACTTCAAGACAGAGTGGGGATTTGAACTAGGGTCGCCAGCTCTGTGTTGGGGAATACCTGGAGATACTGGGGGTGGGGCCTGGGAAGGACGAGGTTTGGAGAGGGGAGGGATCTCAGCAGGGTACAGAGCCATGCAGTCCGCCCTCCAAAGCTCTCATTTCCTCCAGGGGGAACTGATCTTGGTTGTCTGGAGAGCAATTGTGATAGCGGGGGTTCTCCAGGTGCCACTCGAAGGTAAAGGTAAAGGTTCCCTTGCTCGAAAGCCAGTCAAATCCGACTCTAGGGTTGCAGTGCTCGTGGTCATGTGGCTGGCATGACTAAACACCAAGGCGCACGGAACGCTGTTACCTTCCCACCGAAGCGGTACCTATTTATCTACTTGCAATTTCTTGCTTTCGAACTGCTAGGTTGGCAGGAGCTGGAACTAGGGATGGGAGCTCACTCCATCATGTGGCACACTCGGGTCTCGAACTGCTGAACTACCCACCTTCCACAGCCTGCAGTTCAGCGCCTTAACCACTTGAGCCACCGCAGCTCCACCACTTGAAGGTAGGCAGCCCTAATCTGAACCCTGGTCTCTCAGGTCCTAGTCCAACGCTCTAACCATTACACCGCATTTCCTTTTGAGCTTTCGTTATATTTGGGCTCAAGAAGGACCTCTCCTCCTCCTCCTCCTAACTATTTTGTCCAGTGTTTCCTTGAGTCATCCAGACCTCGTTTTTGCCTTCTATGCCTGCCAACTCCTTAGACCTTGTTTCCAGAGTGCTTAAGCGTGTGCAGTGGTGCCTTAGACCTGTACCCTGCGTTTGCCCTCAAAACACCCCTTCGAGGTGGACTGCTGCAATTCCTGTTTCAGAAGACACCCCTGACTCTGCCGGGCAAATCTCTCCAGGGACCCTCACTCTCCATGGCCTCACTTCGTACCGGTGAAGGCCGGAAGGAAGGATCCCTGTTTGTTCCTCCTGTTGTGTTTTTCACCCCCAAAGGCCAGCCAGATGCTTTCTCTGTCGGCTCCTGCTGCGTTGCTGTAATCTTGCTTATTTTTGTCTCCTAATCTTTGTTTGCTTGCTTGGAAATGCTGTGGGGGGGGGTACATTAGCGCTGGGTAAACACAGAGTATAATTCTCCATCCTGCACACGCTCCCAGCAGCCCCGGTCAAGGCAAATAAAGCCTGTTTGGCCAGCTCAGGGGCAGGGGTGCTGGGGAGAGCGGGTCTGCAAGGAGAAGTGGGGGGGAGACAGAAGGGGCAGAGCCCTGAGCTCCCAGGCTAAAAACAGGTCTGGCTTGCTCGGTGGTCTTTGGCAGCAGCTTCTCAAGTTGAAGATAATCAGCAGGTGATTTGGGCTTTTTTGCACAGCAGGGACATAGACACGATCACCTGCAAATTGTAGCCGTTCATCTCGCTTTTGTGGGGCGCAGCTGCAGGAGCTTCTTTGAAAGCTGGCAACCTTGCTTGGCAGGGCTTGCCCTTTAACCTGCGGCCTCTTATCTGTCCTATTATACCTCAGATGACAAGGGGTTAACTCCCCCCACAAGACTTGTGCCCTCCCTGGGAGGCGGGGTCACATCCAGTTGCTCTATAAATACAGCTGCCCGGAGGAAGGAGCAGATGACTGGCTGAGAACAGAAGGTGTGGCCTCGCCATGCCCTCTTAACCAAGGTGTGGTGCAGCAAGGTACACAGATGTTGAAATCAACGACTATCCGGTGGAGGCACTGACAGAGGGATTGCAAGGAGGCCCCGTTGCCTCGTCTGCTTCTGCCCACCATGGCTGCCACCCAGCCTGGCTTGCCGGGAGCTTACCTGGAACCGCAGATGGGGCCGACCCCGGTCTCTGACTCGGATTCGGATTCCGACGGCCCAGTCTCCAGCGACCCCAGGCCCTACGCTGGCTCTGAAGCCGGATGCCAGGTGATCCACAGTGGGCACTTCATGGTGTCCTCCCCACACAGTGACTCGGTGCCCCGTCGGCGCCACCATGGGATTGAGCTGGAGGTCCCTGATCCCCGAAGCATTGACCCCACCATCACACGGCTCTTTGAGTGTATGTCCTTGGCGTACAGGTGAGTCTGGGACTGTCTCCCTCGCTCCAGCTGTGGCTGATCCTTCTCAGTCTTGGATTGAAGGGTTCCCCCGATCTACTTTGCCTTTCTCTTAGAAAGCTTGGAGGCTGCTCTCTCCGGGAGAGGGAAAGCTGTGAGACAGGGATCCAGGGTTTGGTTGATCACAGAGGAAGGGTCCAGAGAAAGCAAATCTTTCGCAGTGACTGATTTAGCTGGTCCGTTGCAGTGTGGACACTGCTCCTGCCCCTTGTACTCTTTAATCAAGTTTCTGCTTTCGTTGCCTCCCTTTCGGCTCTGGCTTCTCTTTATGATTTTTTTGCAACTTGCAGTGTCCAAAGTAGGGGAAAGGTTGGAATGTACAGACAGAATGCGATCCAGAATACGGTCTGGAACTGCCAAAGATGGCTTGGATTGATGGACGCAGGGGAGGGCGGATTCCCAAGTGAGTCCCACCCTCCCCTGCAAAATAAGAAACTCACCAGGGTTACTCGTGGTGTCTGTCCTTAAGCTGGCCTTTTCCCCGTTCCCTGGATGCCTTTATGCTCCCAGCTCGCAGTGACGTCTGGAGCCCGTTTTCATGAAGAAATCTCTGCTGGATCAGTGCAGTTTGGCTCCCTATAGTCCAGCAGGGGCCAGCCAAATGTTCCCCCAGGAAGCCCACAAGTGGGGTGCAAAGGTGACGGCCGTTCTCCGCCAGTGCCAGACCCCGGGGATCATGGGTGTGGGAACCTTGCTTTCACAACATTTCAGGCCAGTGGCTGGATTTCTCCCCATGGTGTTGCAACCAGCACATGCGTAGGACAGCCAGACCCTGGCTTTACACCTCACCCCCCTCTGATTCGCTAGCCCCCCTCAGGATTGGACCTGGTAGTGCATGTTTAAGTCACACAAACCCCGGTCTCTCAGGTGGGCATATTAAGCCCCTGCTGCGGTGGCTCAAGTGGTTAAGACGCTGAACTGCAGGCTGTGGAAGGTCAGTAGTTCGGCAGTTTGAGACCCGGGTGCCGCATGACGGAGTGAGCTCCCATCTCTAGTTCCAGCTCCTGCCAACCTAGCAGTTCGAAAGCAAGACATTGCAAGTAGATAAATAGGGACCACTTCGGTGGGAAGGTAACAGCGTTCCGTGCGCCTTGGTTTTTAGTCATGCCGGCCACATGACCACGGAAACGTCTTCGGACAGCGCTGGCTCTTCGGCTTTGAGACGGAGATGAGCACCGCAACCCTAGAGTCGGATTCGACTGGCTTTCGAGCAAGGGAACCTTTACCTTTACCTTGCCCCCCTACTGCACTCACTTCCCTCCCAGTGCTGAGGATTCCCCAAGCACACAGAATGGAGCTGTGGCACTGCCTTTTTGCCTCACTTGCTGATTTTAAAAAAATCACACCAAAGAAGTCTTGCAGGGATTCAGAGCACACTTGGACCCTCCCTGTTTTTTTAACTGCTCATCTTGGAGATCTTTGTTTTGACTGAAGTCAAACCTACCAGCTTTGGCCTTTTGGACCACATGGTGGGCCAGCAGCCCAGGTGCTGGTCATGCTAGTCCACATGGATAGCTCATTGCATATCCTTTAGGGCAATTAATACAGCTGTGTTCATCTAGGGCTGCCAGGTCTGGGTTGGAAAAGGCCTGGAGATTTTGGGGTGGAGCCTGGGTTTGGACAGGGAAGCACCTCAGCGGGATATAATGCCAGAGAGTCCACCTTCTGAAGCAGCCACTATCTCCGGGGGATCTAACTGACCTTGGTCATCTGGAGATCGATAGTAATAGCGGAGGGTCTCCAGGCACCACCTGGAGGTTGGTAACCCTATGCCATCCCCTTCATAAATTGGCCGATGTCCTGAATGCACGCCAAAGACGCAAATCCCTTTGCGACAGCATCCAGAGGGACAAAAAACAGCCACAGAATATCAGCAGAAGCTCTTAAATGCTTTTTTGGGATTTAACTGTAATTTGCAAGGCCATTTTGAAGCCCCTAGAGGGGGGCAGCCCTGACTTGGACGGCCCAGGCTAGCCTGATCAGGTCAGATCTTGGACCCCACCGGGGTGCCTGGTTAGTACCTGGATGAGAGACCACCGAAGAAGTCCAGGGTCACTGCATAGAGGCAGGCAATGGCAAACCACCGCTGACTGTTTCCTCCCTTGAAAACCCCATAGCTGCAATTTGATGGCGCTTTCCACCACCAGTGGGTGGTAAAGCAGGATATAAATGTCAAAATCTGCTCCTGAGGGAGGGGAGAATGCCCACTGAGTACTCCAGAGACCCTCCATAGCCAAGCATAGTCATACTGCCTCTTTACCAATTTCTAGGTCAGCTTCCAGGGGGATGGGTGTTATCCTTGCTGCTCGTATGAAAAACACAGTACCAAGGAAGTCGTCCCCTACCCCGAGTCCACTGTAGTAGACCCTCCAGTTTTGGACCTATAGTGTGTGCTAGGTGCTAGAGCCAGTTTGGTGTAGTGGTTAGGAGAGTTTATTGATGTCTGGAGGAGCTGGAGAGCCAGTTTGGTGCGGTGGTTAAGAGCGACGGACTCTAATCTGGGAGAACCGGGTTTGATTCCCCACTCCTCCACATGCAGCTGCTGGTGTGACCGTGGGTCAGTCACAAGTTCTTTCAGAGCTGTTCTCTCAAGGGCAGTTCTCAAAAGAGCTATCTCAGCCCCATCTACCTCACAGGGTGTCTGTTGTGGGGAGGGGAAGGGAAATGAGATTGTAAGCCACTCTGAGACTCCTTCGGGTAGTGAAGGGCTGGGTATAAATCCAATCTCTCTTCTCTGCTCTCTATCCACACCACCAAACTGGGATGAAAGAAATTTAAATTTCTCACCAGTGCCACCTTTCTCAAGAGCCTTGGAGCAGAAGATGGCAGGTTCCATTCTGTCCCTTTCTTACTGGTGGTCTGGAGCAGCCTGTATGGGTGTCCCACCAAAATGCTAAAGGGGGCTGATCAGCATGGATAAGGAGGAAGAGTGAGGAGACCTCAGATTGGCCCACCATGAGATGCAGTAGGAGAGATTTGAACTGAAGGCCAGTCAGCCACATGAGGCTTGGTCACGATGGCTCGAGGTGGCCTCGTCTGACGACGATCTGAAGCTAGAACATCCGTTTTAGCAGCGGGTTCCAGAGAGCGTTGCTCACCATGGTGTGCATGTCATCCTTTGGGTTCCACAACTGCATTTGGCAACCATGAATCCTGGTGACCGCTTGCGCAGTCCACAACATGAAGCGACAGATCTTTCTCAGTTTCTCCATAGGGGAGATTTTCACTTCAGCCCAGGCTTGGCCATCCTCCGTAGCTGTACGGATTCCCCCTTGCGACTTCTGAAGGTGTCTAAATTTTGACTGTATGCCCCCCCCCCTTTCCTGGAATGTTCTGTGTGTGTTAGAAAGGGCAGGAAGGGGTTACAAATAATGCTGGCCAGTGTTTGTGGACCGCTGCTTTTGACCCACTGCTATCTCTGGTCAAGCAAGTTCTGAAGGTTTTTGAAACAACATGGAACCCTGCCAGAGCTGATTGACAAAGATGGAAGTAGGATGAGGGTGCAGGAGAACCACCGCAAGTCAAGTCTCTTTCTTTTTAAAAAGAAATGTTTTTTTTTACCTATTTCCGGTTCAAGGAGCTCTAGTTTGTGGGCAGTGGTGTTTTAGACGCAAGCAAGCCTTCCTGCCCTCCTTATGAGCTTCCTGGAGGCTGCTGACCAGAGGATCCTAGACCTGACGCAGCAAGGTATCTCTTATGTACAAGACTATCAACCTACACTACCCATGATGGTTAAATAGAACCTCCATGTCCAGCAGAAGTGTATCTGAGTAGCAGATGCTGGAGACAAACAACAGGAGAAAGCTCTTTTCTACTTACCCTGTTTGTTATGGGCTTCCTGGGAGTGTCTTGCTCGCCAGTGCTGGAAACAGGATGCTCCATTTGGGTCTGATCCGGCAGGCCACTTCTTAATGGTATCACTTTGCAATAAGGCCAGTGAACCCGTAACTTCTTTTTGCAGGGCGAGCCCATGGCAGTGGAATTTTAGAGTCTAAACTCACCCCATAATCTTCAGCTAGGAGGGCCCTTGGCAAGATGGGATTCTTGGAAGCACCATCTTTTCCCTCTTGATGGCCTGGGGGGGGGCTGTCCTGCAGAAGATGAATCTGCTGTTGGAACAGGAACAAAACCATGCAGGTTTTTTTCCTCCTTGGCCGCTGATTTCAGAACACAGTTCTGAAGTCCTGTTTACTTTGACAAGTGTGGCCAGCCCTGGCACAGGCAAAGTCAGAGGCGGAAACCTTGGGAGGGACCCCCTGTGACTTTGAGAGGTCAGCCAGAACAAAACCATTGGTCACTGCTTTGACGCAAGGGCACATTTTCCATTCCCTGCCCTTGCTGTCTTCTCCTTAAGAAACTAGGCAAGCCTGGTCTTGTCAGATCTTGGAAGCTAAGCAGGGCCGACCCTGGCAAGTCCTTGGAAGAGAGACCTCCAAGGAATACCAGGGCTGGGATGCAGAGGCAGGTTATATCAAGCCACCTCTCTGAAATGTCCAAGCCCCACTAGGGGTCGCCAGAAGTCACCATGACTTCCAGGCTTGCAAATCAAGCATGTGTGCGCGTGCGTGCACACACACACAAACACACACACACACACAAATACTCACTGTCACAGGATAATGTGATGGCCTCTAGAAAAAAATCGATTGAATACAATGATGGCGGATGGGTCTGCCAATAAACGGAAGCCTCCATGTTCAAAACCAGTACATTTCTGATTACTGACTACTGACTACTGGATGACGGTCCTCACATTTATGCCCTGTTTGTGGGCTTTTGGGAACATCTGGTTGGCCATTGTTATTTTGCCGACTTTATTCCAGGGTTGGTAGTTCTAGGATGGGGCTATGGAGGGCACTGCCTCCCACAACCCCTGGCAATTTTCTTTAGCCATCCCTCCAGCGTCTGAGATTTCACTGGGTGTTCCACTTCCAAGCATACCCTTGCCCTTGTAACAATGA